CAGGAATTTAACTCAGAGTGGGACTTTCACAGATGGAGGGTGTAGACTACCTCAATCCCACAATGGTTGGGGCTGAGGTTAGAAAAGCCCAATAAAATTTAAAATAATATTAAATTAAAGTTACAAGTATGTCTTCATGCAAATGTTATGTAATAGTGCCATATCTAAGATTTTTCTTTGGGGTGGTGCATGGGAAAAATGAATTTCCATGACTGGGTGCATTTGGACAATCAATGTTCCTGGCAGTGGCGGCTATATGATATATGTGAGGTCTCACCACGAAATGAGACGCATCGTTGGTGAAATCATATTGAGATATTCACCAAAATAGGTCAAAGTCAACATTTTGATTTTAATGTTTTTGAATAACTTGATACTTACATTTATGATTGTGTACTTTTTAAGTGAATTTTCGTACAAAAACAGTGTTCTCTGTGCATATTCTGTAATTCTAGTACTATTATTTGTACAGGTTAGTTTTTCTTTGAGACCAAAGTCTCAAAACCTGGTTCTCGTACACCTAAACTTTAAATGCTAACATCTCTGGATCTATTTTTCCTAGGAATGCCATTCAAAGACCAAATTAAAAGCTTTTAATGTGATCTACCAAAATATAATATAAACTCATTTTTTGATTTCTAACGATGAGACTCATTTTGTAGTGAGACCGCACATATTTTCTGGCTGGGCTAAGTTGTCCGACAGGGGGACTTGAGCTCGTAGGCTCGAGCTGGGAGAAGGGGTTTCGTTCCCCCTCCCAAATGAGATTTTTTTTAAAGAATATCAACCTCTAGATGGCTGAAAATGGCACTCTCAGTCTCAGACTGTGACAGACATGTGTTGGCTTGTTTTGGGCCTATTTTTATATGTTTTATGGTCTGACTGCCCGACGAGCTCTGTCCGGCGGGGGGCTTGACCTGTCTGGTGGGGGCTTAAGCCCCCCCTGCCACCCCGCTGGCGCGGCCACTGGTTCCTGGTGGTCGAGACTATGTTTACAATTAAGAAAAATGATAATGAATAAAAGTCCAGTAAGAGTCCAATCAATATAGAAATTTAGATTTCATTTAAAAAAATTATTATTATATTCCTTTCTCATATAGATCCTATTTAATTTGGTACTTATTATCATATAGGCGAGTCGTTTGGCCGAGCAGTTAAGACAGGGGAACCGTGACATACAGCCATATCGGCGCTGGTTCGAACGGCACGCTCACCTATGGTTGCGGTAGTGGAACAAGTCTTCTCGGATTAAGGACACATTAAACCGTAGGTCCAGTGACAAAATCGGCTCGTGTGCACTTTAAAGAACCCAGTACATCATTCGAGAAGAGTAGGAAGTTACCCCAGTGTACTGGTCCATTTCCAGTCCCTTGTCTGGCCACAGAAGGAGCGTTTACGTCGCGGCCCATGTCAGGTATCCATCCTACCTACGAATCCTTCTACCACACTACGTAAGCTAGATCATACACACTAGCTACGTAGTGATTCGATAAGAAGAAGATTATCATATATACATATGTATATATGATAGTTAATATGGTGTATAGTGTGGTGCCACGTATATTCCACACAGATAATCAAAAATTGCTTTGCGATGAGAATGCGATTTAAAGTTAGAATCTATGGGAACGCATTTCAGATCTTGTATGGAGTGATTGGGCAGGTTAAAATGATTGGCTACAGGAAGGCCTTTTGAATGGTCTCTAACAGATATTTTATGATTATTAAATTAAAGACAGAATTTGGTTCTATTTTCTCCTATTTAGTTTCCTAATGAACATTAGATGCAAGTGATAAGGTAAATGACGTTGGATGAGTCGCAAGTAAGTTAAGGGGGATGGAACGCAGACGCATGAAGACTCGTCTTGCAGTAACGCTTTATACATTTATATAAATCTTAAATGGTAAAGAGAAGTAAGCTGCGATTGCGAAAACAAAAATTGCAACAACCGAAATTCAAACCTGGGACCACCTGCTGCCTATGAAGACATCCTAACCAACTGGTGCATTGAGTCTTTCATTGAAAGTTTAAATCCGATTGGAGGCAATTCATTCCGCACTCTTTGGTATGCCAATACTACAATAGAATTTTACGCACACACGTTAAACAGAGATCAATGTGATAGGCCTTTTTCTTAACCATTTTAAGAGCATTGATTGTACTAGTACACGCGCATAACTAGATATACTCCACAGGAAGCAGAGAAGGTTGCAGTTTGTGCTCGAGTGCTGCGAGTGTGAACAAAATGCCAAGCTGAGACACTACTAGTTTAATTTTTCTACTAAGTTAACTAAGTGTGAGCGTTTCCAGTGGCGTCACAGAGTTTGTGGGGCCTTGGCGATGACTGTTATTGAGGCCCTAATAAGCGAGCGATAAGTTTGCGAGTGGAGCAAACAAACAGATGCTGGGAGACAGGGGCCGCGTAGGGAGGCCCCCGGTCGGGGTCCAGGGGGTGAAGGTCCCTGGTGGGGGTCCAAAGGGGGCTTCTTCCCCTCGCGGTCAGAGAATCATAAAAACATAAACTGGCCAACTTTCGGAAATGGTATAGGCCTACAGTAGGCCTATGTACTCTATGTACAGTAGGTGTAAATAAATAGAGAGAATATTTTAGTGAGAAACGTACAAAAAAAAATTGCCCCATTAAAAATGGCCCCAGTAAAAATGGCCCCAAATGACAAGTAGGTAAAAATGGCCCCAATGAAAAAATTGAATAATAGAAATGATATTTTTTTTAAATCTTCAAATATTTAAATACTGTAATAAGCAAGAATTGAATCAATAACAAATACAGTTACACAACAGATGCAAATAATGTACTAAGAGATTAACAGAAAACAATGGCCATTGAATAACATTTTTTGATAGTAGAAATAAGTTTTAAAAACGTTATTCCACTAACAAAGTAGAGGAATGACATACTGTACTTCAACTACCAAAATATGCAATTCATAGATAACCACAAAATTCACTTTTGTTAAGTATCAAATGAAATATAAACAGTGAAAATAAACAGTAGTTAAAGCATGTGGATCAATTGTGTGTTTGAATCACAAGTTCATGTATGGGAAAAGGGAGAGGCTTACATTCTCACAAACTTAGCAAATAAATGTTCTGCTTAGAGTTACTTCAAAGAAGTATTTGTTAATCAAATATTGTTTTTAAAGTAAACTGAATAATTAGGAATACATATATTTAAGCAACTTATATAAGTGCATACTTGGTTTTTACTCCCCGCCAACTAAATTTAAGTGCCTAAAACTATACTAAATAATGTAAACTGAGATACTATATTATATACATAGTTATGTAAATATGGAAATTATGCTAAGAATTAAAATGGTGTGTAATTGTGAGGGTAAGTAATTATGGTAGGATTAAATGGTATTGCTAAATCCCAAAAACCTCCCAAAACACACTGTAGAAAACCAAACAATTCAATTGTGATTGACTCACTTGGTATATCAATAAGAAAATTGAATATTCATAAGAACCTATTTTTTGTTTTTTTGTGAAAAAATACTTGCAAATACACCACAAACCTCCAAACACACTGTGAACCCCATCCAAACCCTTTAATTATGATTGTAGAACTCTCTTTTTATAAAAAAAAAAAAAAAATAATAATAATTTGATGTTCATATAAACTCATTGTTTGTGGGGTTTACCAATACCCGGATTGAATTTCTGGAAAATTGTGATTCCGCTTCCTTGAAATTGGCCACAAATAAATTATTTTAGTATTAATAAATGCATGATTTATGTTGATTTATTGATTATGTTGTTGCTATTTTTTAACATTTAAATGGAAAAAAAAATAAAAAGTGTAATGGATTTTTTTTATCTTTGAATATTTTATCATTGAATATGTAATTTCTGCGAAAGTAAAATGTAAATGGCAAATTATTTGATGTTATATTCCTTTTAAAAATTAAATTATTTCAGTTAAAAAAATGCATATAATTATTTAAAAAAAAAAAACCAGTTTTAATACAGAATTTTATTATTGGGGCCATTTTTACCTACCTGTCATTTTGGGCCATTTTCACTGGGGCAATATTTACCCGGGCCTTTTTTTCCGGGGCAATTTTTTCCTGGGCCATTTTTTCCGGGGCCATTCTTAAATAAAAAACCAAAACAGACTAATGCAGAGGAACCAACACTATTGCTCTGTTCACCTGCATTTCATACATCAACTTTGTTTTGACAATGTTATGATTTTCATTAAAATGTTTGATAAAATAACATGATGCATTTCATAGTTATGTTGCATCTACTTTTAATAACAGCATCCTCTTTGATACTGATTTTAAGAACTTCATTCTGTTTTTGCTTTCCTCATTATATCTTCTAGCGGAACAGATGAAGCCTGCCAAATACGGCAATGAATTCCTGGCATTCCAAGTAACCATCCAATGCATTCCAAAGGTTACCAAGGCTAGTAGCTAAGTGACAATTTCAAGAACTAATCAGTGGTTATTTCAGCTGTATTCATTTGCATATCATCAGCATAACACTTAGCTGGGATTTTAATATCCATTATATCTCTCTTTAAGGTTATTTAGTATTTGCATTGATTATGTATCAATTACTCTAAATTATATATACAGAGAACTGATTTGCATATTAATAAGTTTGATTATAAGGTATGTTCTGTGGAACTGGTGCTGATTAGATTCATTGCATTATGAATATTAATATCTTGGATATCAGGAAGCTGGGTTACCAGGGAGTGCATCCCATAATGCTTTGGGACTTGAAACATTGTTGTCATACCTTTTGTGCTTTACTATTTTCATCAGTCTGGTAACCCCAGTAGCCAGGCCCTTATCATAATCAAGGTAGGTCATTTATTTTTCTTCTATATGCTCTTAGAAATTTATTATTTTTTACAAATTTATAAATAAAGCAATTTTATATTACCACTTTACAAAGAAGGCGTTCACACATTTTAGTAGCTGTGAAAATTTATAGCATTTCAGGAAAACTCTTAGTGTTAAATATGAGAGGCTACGCTCCTTACCAGGACTCATCTGTATCTCAGGAGATACATTTCTTATCTATGGAAAAGTATGCTGTTGCTATCATATTATTATGCTAAATTTTGTCTATTGTTGAATTTGCTTATTCTCATTTTTTCTGTGTGATTTGCTTTTGGATCTTAGATAAAAGCAATTTCAATGCATATATAGAATTAAATACTAAAAGAATATAAGCATAATAAAGTACTAAGAAAATAAATCAATTTTTGAACAAATGTCTACATCAATTTTTTTTACATATACATACCATATAAACATGTAATTTTTATAAAATGTATGTACTTATTTCATATTTATAATGGGATAGTATGTAGCATAATGACACATCTCATATATATATATAGATTAAAATGCAAAATACTGGAAAACAACAATGCTGTGGGAAACAATGGCTGGATCTCAGTAGAGATACAAAAATGATAA